AAACGGCTCTCACAAGTTCGTAATACAAGGCTATTCACTGGCGAAAGGAATGGGAGTAGGAAAGCACATCGCGAGCGATAATTTTACGGTGGGAGGGTATCAATGGGCGATTTATTTTTACCCAGATGGGAAAAATCCGGAAGATCATTCAGCTTATGTGTCCGTTTTTATCGCGTTGGCTAGCGAGGGGACGGATGTTAGGGCTTTGTTTGAATTGACGCTTGTTGATCAGAGTGGGAAAGGAAAACATAAAGTTCATAGTCATTTTGATCGGTCGCTTGAGGGTGGGCCTTATACGTTGAAGTATCGCGGTAGTATGTGGTAATAAATTTGATTTTTGAGTTTAAATTTCGTGTTTTTTTTTGGTATTTTTTTGAAGTGGCTGCTTTGTGTTTTGTTTGTTTGATTGATTTTTTTAGAAGTAATGGGGTTGCGTGAGGAGAATGATAGTTGATTGTTGCGATCGCGTGTGGTAATTTGAATTGGTGTTGAAAAGAGCGCTTCTTTCTGTTAATGTGGGTGATGGTGTGTTTGATTGGTTTTTGAGAGGGTTAGCTCTTGATATGTTGCATAGGATTGGTTTTCTTATAGTTTTTTTATGTGATTAGCTTATGTGAGATGACAAGCAAGAAGAATTGTGGTGTCCAAGTTGTTTTTTCATGTAAAAATTTGGTTCTGGTTGGATTGTGTTACCCGGTTAAAATGGTGTATTGTTTTGGTATGTGGTTGATTCATTGCTTTTCGATGAAGTTTGATGAAATAGTTCTATATAGAAATGCTCAAGTGATACGTTAGGTGTTGTTGATGTTGAATAGCATTGTTCCTTTGTTGGGTTTATTTAATGAGGAAGAGAAAAGGAATATATTGTGAGAGAGCATATAGATACTGCTCTAGTTTGTGTTTTTTCTGTTAATATGTTTAGAATTTCTGAAGCATTTTTTATGGTGATATTCTGGGGTGTATATTGAATGCCTTTTGGTCTAACTGGTGTCTGTATTAATTATTCATGGTTGAATTTGTGCTATTGGTTAATCAGACATCATGTGATGTGTAGAATTTCTTTTCCTTTGGGGAAGATTTTTTTTGTCCTATAGCATAGAGCTAAAGGGCTAATTCCTATAAGCTTGATGGTGTTCTTTGAATTGAAAAAAGTTACCTGTAAGGAGATCTTTAGTCAGTGAAGTCCAGGTTCTACACCTCTACTGAATTTGAAGGGATATTGTTTGTAATTCACAACCTGTTCTTCACTCCATTAATTTTTAAGGTATAACTAATCTCTGTGATGCTGTCTCCAATTCTCAAATCATAGAGGTCATAGTAGTCATGGATCCATATTAAGATGGAAATGACATCTTTTACTTCTGTAACAACTCTGTGATTAGCATGCCTTCTGTAGAAATCATTCTTTAAGTATAGAAAGTACACACCAGCTAACATAGACTGTTAAATGCTGCTTGACTCTTCTGAAAATTTAGGAACATTTTAGGGTGCTGAATATTCTCTCTCTTTACATTCCATTCTAGCTTATAAGGGTTAGGCTCATCAATGTTTATATTTACCTTGAAAAGATTTTCGAGAACTTATACAATTGAAAATGTAAATCAGCTCTCTAATTGATGGATGTTTGGCATTGATGATTAGGAAAAGAAGAGCACCTCGAACTTGGGATGTTATTCCACTGTGTGATGTGGAGCTTGTGGTTGAGCATCTTACTTTGAGTTTGTTAGATAATCTGGGCACTCCTATTATATGTTTTACTCCAAAACACTTTTGAAGTCTTTGGATTTGGTTTCTTTTGCATCTTGCTTTTCCTCTATTTAACTTTCTTGTTTTCTTTCTCTTTAATGTTTTCATTCCTTTGATAATTATTTTTCTTCAGAGTGTTCCACCTTCTCTATGTATACTTTCTGTGAACAGGTGTTGAAGTTTAATTAACTGTCAGAAACAGAAAGCACTGATAGTGCACCTTTATGGTACCAGGGCTCTATCCCAGCTTTCTAGTATGATTTTGCATAGCTTCAGCAATAGTCATGGCTAATCTTTTATTTTTGTTTCTTCTGCATTTATGCCATCTTCCTTGCGTTGACTTGAGAGTTAAGACTAGAATTTTGATTCATTTTATTTAAGTGGCCCCCTTTTCTTACCCTCTTCCCTGCTTTATCTCTATTATTTCCTTTGTATGTTTGCCTCCTTCTGCTTGGTGTGGATGTGTAAAATGTTCAATATATTTGAATTTCAACGTCCCAATTTTCCTGATTTTTGAGATATATATTTGAGACAGGCTAGGTCCTTATTTTGAAATGATTCAATGGCAACTTTTGGACTTAGATGTTTATACTGTCTTGTTTTCTTTAATGTAGGGGTTACAAGCGATTTTTCAGACGAGCAATGCTTGAAACATCGGATTACCTTAAGAATGATTGCTTGAAAATTAATTGTACTGTTGGAGTAGTAGTTTCTGCAACAAATTGTTCCCAGTTAAACTCAATTCAGGTTCCAGAGTCTGATATAGGAGCTCATTTTGGCATGCTGCTCGACAATATGGAAGGTTCAGATGTTATTTTTAATGTGGCAGGGGAAAAATTCCATGCTCATAAGTTGGTGTTGTCTGCCCGATCTCCTTTTTTTCGATCTAAATTTTTTGATGATGGCGTAGAGGAAGATGAACAAGAGATTGTCATTTCTGATCTAGAACCTATGGTTTTCAAGGTGATTTTTATTCCCATAAGATCGAATCTTTTAAAGGCATATTGGGTCAGGATTTGTGTTCTTGTTGGTTTTCTGTGTTTATTTATTTCCTTATGTGATTCCCTCCAGGCTATGTTGCACTTCATATACCGAGATACTCTCACTGAAGATGTGGACATGGCAACTTCTAGCTCTTCTTCTGACTGCTCCGTGTCTGAAACATTAACAACAAAGCTGCTAGCTGCAGCAGACAGGTATGGTCTGGACAGACTCAGACTGATGTGCGAGTCTCATCTCTGCAAGGATATATCTGTGAATTCTGTTTCCAGCATCCTTGCCTTGGCTGACTGTCATCACGCAACAGAGTTAAAAGCTGTTTGCCTAAAATTCGCTGCTGAAAACCTTGCAGGTAATTTCTAGTCTCCCCTTTTGAATTTCCCTTACCATTCATTATTTAGAGAATTGTATGACTGTCAAAATAAACAGTGTCAATTGAGGGGATAGGCTAAGGGCCTTTGTGAAATCTAGCTGTGAAGGACTGTATAAAAATAAGTCCTCTGCATAAATATGTTGCCAAGTCATCACTTGGTGGTGGTAGGAGAAGGACCTCACATCAACCTTGTTTTGATGTAGCTTTGGAGGGCATAAATTAACTGCTTGGCAATCATGTTCCACTTCATACATCTGTGTAGCCAGGCAAAATTGTCTTAAATTCGCACATCTAAAATGCTGCTCTTCATAGTGTGCCCAACTTGTACGGGAAGATAATGAGGAATGAGGACTGAAGTAAATGACGTGGTATTTATGAGGGAAGCAAATGTTCCCACTGGAGTATTGTGTCAAGGTTTTCACTTGAAACTTGAAAGCATCACATAATGCAAACTATTGCTATGAACCACAGGTGTACATTATATATCGGTATCTCCTTTTATTCATGAACTGCACAGGTGGAAATTTGAGATTTATAGATATGCCTCATTGTTCAATATATGATGAATTGATGGTGCTTGATACGGTTTTCTCATCTCCTTTGGGCATCATTACTGCAGCTGTAATGCGGTCAGATGGCTTTACCTACCTCAAGGAGAACTGCCCGTCACTACAATCAGAGTTACTGAAGACGGTGGCAGGTTGTGAGGAGGATTGCAGCAGTGAAGGCGGAAAGTCGCGGAGTGTATGGGCCCAGCTTTCAGATGGTTGTGACACCACTGGCCGAAGAGTCAGACAAAGAACCTAGTATCTGGACATCCAGCTGATCTTTGTAAATGAGAGTGATGACGGAAAAAAATGCAGAATAGAAAACAAAAAAACGTTGTGTAACATAGGAGGGCCTGCCATGTTTTTCAGTTTGAACTGGTGGTAGATTGCGGGTATGTATTGTAAGCTGTCATGTTGATAACCATAAGCTGTGTTGTTTACTCATGTTCTGAGTATGTATGGAACATGGCTTGTGAAATTTTCCCTTTCCCTTTTCCCTTTTAACATGCTAACAAATTCTGTGTTTCTCAAATAGAGAGAAACAGCCTTAATTACTAGAAATTCCTTTCCTTTCTGCACATTTTACTCCCTTTTTCCATGTTTGGACTCGTCGAGCAGGAGCACAAAGTGCATTTGTCGCCATGCCTGCTTAGAGCAGCTCTAGAGAATGTTCCTGTTCAGTGGCTGCTGGTGTGTTGGTTTCAATTCATGTTTGGTGTATGCTTTAAACCAAGTCTGCTGCATGGATTTATTTCAGGTCTCAGGGGATGGGAGAGATTCGAAAGTAACCAGCATTCACCGTATAGCAAGCACAGTTAATCAATCTTGGCTTTGGTGGGATCTGGTGTGTTTATATATATATATAGAGAGAGAGAGGATAAAAAAAAAACGACTTAAGTTTTTTTAAGATAATAAAATAATAATAATTAAAGTTGACACAATTATATCTGAATTAGATTTAATCAAATCAATTATATTATATTATATCTCATGAGGTTACCCGGTTAATTTTGAACTTGATTTGAAAGCAAACCAAGCTGGGGTTAGGCTTCGGATTGACAAGTCATTGAGTTAATCCTTCAGTCTATCAAATTTAAATTTGGTAACTATGGTTTCGGTTTCAATAAAAGAGGAAATAAATCAAAAGAGGATATTTGTAAAGCAATTAGCGACCAATTATTAAAGCATTAGAAGGTTAAAAAGTTTCTGGGAAATGTTTATTGTTTTATTATTTAGCTTTTTACTCGAATGAATGCTGAAACACCTTTGACTATCTATAGTCTTACATCCTAGCTAGCCTAATAATCACTCTAATTACCTCCTCGAAGCTCCTGTAGGCTTCCAGCTACGTGCAAAGAACTCTTTCTCGAGGATCCATGGCCCATGTCTAATATCCTAAACAAATCCATAATTAATCATTTCCATGCTCTTTTAATGAATATTCAAGGTCGATGACCAAGTAAACCCTAGCGGAGCCAAACCCTGGCTGGAAATTCTTCCTCCCCAAGGAACTAAGACTCCTGTATATATATATCCTAATACGCACCCCCAACCAATCGCATAACATACCAAAATTAATCTTTAATTAGACTGAGTTTTCTTTAATTTTGTCTCCTCCATACATCCACATCCACAATTTTTTGACTTATCAAATTCATAGTGATTACCGCTATGCTGCTTTGGTGCGGTTCATGCACTAGACGTTGCCCAACTTTTTGCCAAGAAGATTCCGTGTGAGTATAATTACACAGGTTCTTATAATTATTGTTTTACTATTGTTATTGACAAGGCTAATTAAAGGCAATTAATTTCTAATTATATCTATGATTGTATTTAATGGACTGCAGGTCGTGTTCCATATGTGGTAAGGTTCTTAGCATGTTGAGTTGGCATAGAAGACTCGATACAAGAAATCCAAGATTTAAGAGAACCTGCAGAGGTAGAAGAAAGAAGATACAAATAAACGATGATGAATCATGTGTTACTAATCAAGAAGCCTCTGTAAATATAGATGAAGCTTTATCGAGTACTGCTGAAAAGCCAGTTGTTATGGTGAAGGATAAGGATGATGCTGTATCGAGTACTGCTGAAAAGCCAGTCCTTAAAGTGAAGGATGGTGGAGCAGATTAGAGGTGGGAAAGGAGAAGATGTTAATTATGAGCAAAATTTGGGGCCTAATTCTTGATTCTCTTACTGGTTTTCAGAAGAATTTTGATTTGTTTAAAGAGTACGGCCGGCTTGAACAATTCAATTGTGGATTATCATTAACCTGTTTGTTTGTTGCTTCATTACCTTCTCATTTTTCAGCCCTTTTTAACAGGGGAAAACAGAGACCAATTCCCATTGCTTCTTACTGAAAAGCTTATGAACTGTTTGCATCCCAAAAACTTGAAAGTATCAATTCCCATTTAAAAAAAAAAAAATTGAAGAGAAAAAGAAGAAAAACAGACGGAATAATCGAATAAGATGGGTGCGAGCTTGTAAAGACAGTCAACTAGAACAGAACATTCTTGTACAGTGGCACATGTGTTGACCTTAATTTAAGACTGGTTCATCTTTCCATCTATATGCCCTAAAAGTCACGATTTCTGAAAAGGGTTGTCATCTATCAGCTAAAGCTAGTCACAATCATAAATAACCTTGGCAATCTATCTATATATATATATATAATTCTAAATCCTTTGTTAGGTCTAAAATTATGCAATAATATTAAATATGTGTTTGTTTTTGCAGATAAGATTATTCTTTAAAGGTTTTTTAATTGATTTTTACTTAAAAAGAATGTTAAATTATTTCTTTTAATTATTTTTCCAATAATTTTAACATGTTGATGTAAAAAATTTTAAAAAATCATTTTAAATATATTTTCAATTAAAAATACTTTTAAAAAACCTGCTTTACCAAACACACACAATATCTTCTCCACCTTTTAATTCTTCTTAATCATGAATGTTCCGAGTGCAACATAAACTTCACTCATCTTGATCAACATTTTACATATGTATCATTTGAGCTGACTGGAAAAAAAGAAAGAAAGGAGGCGAAGACTATTTGGAGCTGCCATGGAAAGGGATCCTAGCTATATTGAACACGCGCGCGCATATATATATATATCATTTAGATAAATCTAGGGAATCAAATGTGTTTTTTTTTATTGTAGCATTTAGTTACTGTTTCAATATAAAAAAATCAAGATAATTTATATTTTAAAAATATATAAATTCACTATTTAAGAGAATTTTATTATGCATGTCTCGTAAGAGCAGGAGTGCCTTTGTCTGGTAAGGGCAGGAGTTAGGCCTTGAAACAGCATCTATCCCAGAGCACTCATCCTAATTAACTAACAGCCCTAGTTAAGATTCCAGTCCCAACAATTGTCGTATATATCTCCAAAATGATCAAAACCAAACCATCGTGGTGTTATGATGATCAGTTATGGCCCTATAAAGACTAAGCAAGACTATTAATTTGTTCAGATAAACTATATGCATGAATATGTATATATTTTATCAATAGCCTTTGGAGGATGCGAGGGGTCGACGAAATCAATTCATTCAAGTTGATAATCATCCCCTTTTCTGCATAAATTCTTGCAGAACCTTTAAGAGGGATATAATCTGGAGGAATATTTCCCATTATGAGCATTCAAATAGTGTAATGTTGAGTTGCATAAAATGCAATGAAATCAGAGAAATCCTCAAGAATATATGTAGAGCATATATAAAAGTGATATTTTCTATTCTTTCGTGGCCTATAAATAAAGACTTCGACATGTAGAATTGGCATTGCATTTGTAGCATATATATGAATTGAGAGAAGAGAGGTCTAATATGAGGATCAGAGTGATCTTGTGTGGAAGCCAAGGATGACTTGCCTGAGCATTTCAGGAAGGTTTCTACATGAAAGCTTTTTGTTAGTTTTTCAGGAAGTCAACCTAGGCTTCCCTATAGTCTCTTCTTTCTCATGCTATGCCTTTCTCTTCTTCCATAACAAGATCAAAAACATATAAAGGGTATGCATTTAGACATTAATTTGATCGATGCATTACGTTGTTCAACATATTATTTTGCAGAATCCATCAAGGTTTACATTATATTCTTTGATTCAGTGGCCTTTTCCGTATACACTTACAATGTTAAGTTAGAATGGCACCTTAGAGGTTTAGGCTTTTTTTTTTGGCAATGCGGTGCACTCCTCTTACTCTTGCATTTCTCTAGCAAAAACACTGAAAATAATGTCTTTGTTGCTGTGAACCATTTTGTTAAACAAATTAACCTCATGCAAAGATCACTTTACCTCTGAGAGAAGCTCATCTTATTTTTCAGCTTAGAAAAAAGAAGAAGTAACCCTACTATTATAATCTATAGTAATCCAATGCGTATCTACATTAGTTTTCAAGTTTTTTCAATGCACGAGAATCATCCTATTTCACATTCGCTTTATGACAACTGTCTAAAAATTGCCATCAGCTTTGAGATTAGGTCAAAGCATCCTTGGATCAACAGGTCCCGGAGGATCGAAAGAAACTGTAAATGGTCCAGGCGGGCACAATTGCTGAAATTTCAAATGGAAATTACGCGATCGTTTCTTCATATCCTTTCCACCGCTTGGAGTCTCTTAAATGAGAACCTTCCCATGAATTCACCTGATACAGCATGGAAACTGAGGCTGATATGATTGAAACAAATAAAATGATAAACAAGCTGGACACAGAGAGAGTGAGTGTAAGCGCATCATGTAACCTTTTCAACAATTCATGCAGTTCACGAAAATATTGGTTTGCGGAGACGAATGTTCATGGATATAGCTCTCATTTTGGCTTCATTGGGCATGAATCTTGAGCATTTGCTTTTTGAATAATTTCCAGCTTCTACGCTTCAATTTCCACTAGTATAAAAAAGCAAAGAACAGTTCCTCTGAAACGACGAACCTAGTCAATAAACTCTCCCACTTTCCCTCTCAATAAACAGTTAGATGACACTTGTGTAATTAATTGTAGCTTTTTTCTTGTGATTTAAAAAATAAAATGATTTGAATATTAAAATATATGTTTTGTTAAAATTATAATTAAAGTTATTGTTTAACAAAAAGTATATTTAGAGGTGTTTTTTAAAAATTTATGGTTGAAATTAATATTTATAATAAAATAATAAAAAAACAATGTATTAATTTCTTAATTTACAAATATATTTACGTGCGTTTGATTGTTAATACATTCTAAGAACACATGCAAATTATAACACTGTTTTTTTTTTTTTCATTGAACTTACTGTAAATATTACGAAGATAAGTATTTTGTTGTGCTTTACTTGCTATTAGTATAATTTTTTAAAAGATAGTAATTATTAAGGCTGTATCTG